GCGATGCTTGGGCGAAGCCCTGTCACGGTAGCTTCATCAAGATCGTCATCACGCCGTCATGCTAACGAAACTCTTCCCGGAGCTCTACTGGATCGTGAGTTCGCGGGACGTCACCGAGCTGAACGCGTGCTGAACGCGGAGGTGCCGTACGGTCGGTACTGAGGATCGATCGATCATGAAGACGTACGACTACATCAACTGCGTTTTCATAACGCTTCCGCTTAACGGTCTAACAGGGTACGTGGATGACACTCTCCCCTCTCGTTGCTATGCATCACCATGATCCTGCGTGTGTATAGGATTTTTTTTGAAATTACTACGTTCCCCAACAGATACCATTCCAAGTTTCAACCTTTTCAGAGTTCATTTGTAGTGTTTTTCAATTTCAGGGTCATTTAGCTCAAAACGAATCAGTAAATGCATGAAAAATAGCAAATGATGTCAGAAAGGATTTAAAGTTGATGATGTGGCTTTGAATGGTGCATATTAAATGCACGAAAAGTCTCGAGTTGTAATAACTTTAAAAAAAATGAAGTGCCTTTGTAACACATGAGTTTTCGTCCGAAACCCTGATACTTCGAAAGAGATTGTCCAGTTTGTACACGAAGTGCATCCAGTTTTTGTCGTAACCCTCTCTACTTTTTTGCACATCCTATGTGGGTGAAATGATGATACCATGCCAAGTTTCAACCTTTTCAGAGTTCATTTGTAGTGCTTTTCAATTTCAAGGTCATTTAGCTCAAAACAAATCAGTAAATGCATGAAAAATAGCAAATGATATGAGAAACGGTTGAAAGTTGATGATGTGGTTTTGAATGGTGCATACTGAACGCACAAAAAGTCTAGAGTTGTAATAAGTTTTTAAAAATGAAGTGCCTTTCTAATAGATGAGTTTTCATCTGAAACCCTAATACTTCGAAACAGATTGTCCAATTTGTACACGAAGTGCATCCAGTTTTTGTCGTAACCCTCTCTACTTTTTTTCACATGCTATGTGGGTGAAATGATGATACCATTCCAAGTTTTAACTTTTTAAGAGTTCATTTGTAGTGCTTTTCAATTTCAGGGTCATTTAGCTCAAAACAAATCAGTAGATGCATGAAAATAGCAAATAAGGTCAGAAAGGATTGAAAGTTGATGACGTGGCTTTGAACGGTGCATACTGAACGCACAAAAAGTTTGGAGTTGTAATAAGTTAAAAAAATGAAGTGCCTTTGTAACAGATGAGTTTTCATCCGAAAACCTGATACTTCGAAAGAGATTATCTAGTTTGTACACGAAGTGCATCCAGTTTTTGCCGTAACCCTCTCTACTTTTTTGCACATGCTATGTGGGTGAACTGATGATACCATGTCAAGTTTCAACCTTTTCAGAGTTCATTTGTAGTGCTTTTCAATTTCAAGGTCATTTAGCTCAAAACAAATCAGTAAATGCATGAAAAATAGAAAATGAAGGAAGAAATGGTTGAAAGTTGATGACGTGGCTTTGAATGGTGCATAATGAACACACAAAAAATCTAGAGTTGTAATAAGTTTTAAAAAATGAAATGTCTTTGTAATAGATGAGTTTTCGTTCGAAATCCTGATACTTCGAAAGAGATTGTGTAAACATGTAAAAATATATATCAAAAATACATTGATCAGTAGCGCATTTCAGCCAAACGCGCTACTGCTATGTGTAAACATGTAAAAATATACATCAAAAATACATTGATCATCAGTGATCTTTTTATGTACAATCTGAATTGTCAATATGAGTCCTCACCGGTTTAGAAACTGGAGAAGACTCATATTGCGGTCACAAATTCTACACATAGAGTTCAATGACGACCAAATGATTGTGATAGTTTTAGAAGTAACATATTTAAGGTGGTAAAAACCCTGTTAGCGGAGCGAGGTGGGACTAAAAAACTGCTGCAAAAAGAATCAACTAAAAAACTCTAGTACCGGTTTGTGGCATGAATCGGTACTAAAGAGGCCGATGGGGCCCCAGCCTGACAACAGTCTGCCACAACCTCTTTAGTACCGGTTCGTGGCACGAACCGGTACTAAAGATTCTTCACGAACTGGTACTAATGAGCGCCGTCCGCCTAGCCGTTGGAACCGGCACTAATGGTCACATTAGTGCCGGTTCAATTACAAATCAGGACTAATGAGCTTCACATTAGGCCATTTTTTTATTAGTGTTCCGTGCCCCGTCGGATCTGATGCAACGCGCCTGCTCACGGTCCTCGCTGTCACGGTGGGCGGACTTGGCCATCGCGGGCGGCGGATCTGAGACACCGATGGTGAGGGGTTGGGGATTTTCACGGAGGCGGAGGGGTAGGGTTCCGGGCCGTATCCAACAGCCGAACCTGCACATATACTGGTCGAGCGGGTGCGTTTGCGGGCCACCGCAAAACTTTTATGGGCCGGGCTGCGTTTACGGTGTCTGTTCTGGCAGACAAAACGATCCAAACCCGTATAATCGCCGGAATTTTATAGTTCCAACGATTTATACGGGGTCTACTAGAGATGCTCTGAGAGTGGCAGACCAACACAGGGAAGGCACAACACGAATCCCTGCCATGTGGACCATCAGATTGACATATCCAATGGTCCAAATGCAACCACGTAGTCCTGTAGCACAAGCCGTTAAATTTGAACCGTCCAATTAAAAAGATCCAACGGTTCATATGAATTGTATTCCTATACTATATAGGAGTACAGATTTAATCATGGCACACGGTGTCTTGCCATTCATGAAGAGGCAAAATAAGAAGAAAAAAAATACTATTGTGCGCTAGAATTGGATATAACGAAGGCTATGGGGTCATATTATCTATCTTGAGGCGGCCATGATCAAATCGGGTATACACAGCTTGGTGGACACACCATACATGTGCAACTGCATTGGCACAAGATTTGCTTAAAATGGACCTAGTGATACGATCTCACAGCCTGGAGACGACATACGCAGCAACGGGAATGCGAATCTTAGCAGCTACGGGTACAAGCAACAAGCTTTATCCATGAGCATCGTGAGTCCAAATCTGGGGGACAGTACAAGCTTCATCCATATAAGGCAACGGCTTCTTTTGAACATTGCTCACATTGCTTATTTTCCATGAGGACCATAACACGGCTGGACTTACGAAAGAAGCTGGATGTTTCCCTTACACCGAGAAAAGGTTGGGCGTTTCCGTGAAAACAACAAAAGGCGCTTGGTATATATATATACGTGGTGGAAAAGCGCTGCTACGTGCCAAGGCGGAGCGTTTCTTGAATCATCCCCGGTGACTCCCTCGTACGGTGATCAATACCTACGCTAGCAAAGTTGGAGATAACGCAAGGGCTGGTTACACAACACGCGTGCCCGGACAGAAGGGATGTTGCTTTTTTTTTTAGAACACAGTATAAACAAAGACACTCATATATACGTGCATACACGCATCTCAATGAACACACACGCAGATCTTAAAGGGATGTTGCTTTTGTTGCCAAATGTTCGTGGGTGCGCTAGGCTCTAGCGAGGCGTCGCGAGGTCCTAGACAAGAAAGAGAGAAGATAAGTAGAGGGTTTCGTGGACACACCAAGCTTATCTTTGATATCTATACCAATATAAAAAGACCCAAAGAGGCAGATCCAATTGATCTTGGCCATCAAACTAAGTCAATCCAACGACCAAGAATGCTCCAATAGCGGGCGTTCAACGTGTTTAACGTGCAATTAATATCATACCAAATATTGTATTAACTGCAGAATTAGCACACAAATAATAGCATACATAATATCCACGTGCAATTAATATATTGTTTAAATATTAACATGCAACACATGCAATTAATATATTGCCTAAAATATTAACGTGCATCGCACGTGCGCATTTACTAGTGTGTAATAAAAGTTTTGATATACTCCCTCCATCTCAAAAGAAGTGTCTTCACTTTATATTAACTTTAACATAAAGTTGTACTAAAGTTGAGATGCTTATTTTAGGATTAAATTTGAGATACTTATTTTGAAATGGAGGAAATATTTTTTGGAAACAAAATAGATGTTACAACAATAGAGGTCACGCCCCTCAACAAAAAAAATGTGGTCATGCATCAACCGGAAGTGTCCTCCACGTCCACGTATCAACCTTGCCAGTAGGTATGGACCCCAAAAATGTGGAAATGTATTAAGTATCACAAGTCCTTTCCAAACACATGTTATACAAAAAAACATATAAATCCTTAGGTGTGCCAAAATTTTCTTCCTTTTGCATCCACCCACGGCACGCCGTGAGCTAAACTCGATCCTGCCTCTGGGCCTTCAACTTGGTGGAGCAAAATTTTCTACGTCACAAGAGGGAAATGATACATATTCCACGGAGCAATTTTTTCAACTTGGTGGATATGTCTTTTTCAACAGACATGAAAGCTAACTCAAATTAATGCAACAAGAATTTAATATTCATGTGACAAATCTAGTTAATATTTTTTTTGTATACTGTCACCGGTTTAAAACTCTCAAGCATTTTTGTGCGCGTGCGTTCGTGTGTGAATGTGACAAAGATTTGTACGTATATCTCTTGTACTTGTACACATTTGTTTTTCTAGCAACTTAATTAAATCCATATTGATAGCTAGCTAGGCTGGCGCCTTCAGTGAGACTAGACAAAAAGGGCCCAAGTGAATGAAGTACCGTCACACTCCAGTAGTACCTTGTAGAGCAAATGAAATGAGACTGCAACAACAAGAGCGAGGGGCAAGAAGTAGAAACTCTTCCCGGCCACCTCCGCCCCGATACAGTTTATTTCACATATATATATGGACCAAACAGACAGATAACACAAGCTTCACACACAACAATGGCGCGCACAGACACACACTTGCGACACACGCCTTATTAATGGCGGTCAGGTTACACACATATCCCACGCCCATGGCTCCAAGCATAAATCGGGATGGCGCCACGCCTCTTCATACGGGCGAGCGCGCGGCGTGCTTGCGTGCAACCCACCCCACGCCTAGTTTATCAGTAGTTGACGACGGAGCGGTAGGTGCCGCCGGGCTTCCAGCCGGCGGGGATGACTTTGCTCGCCACGAGGGGCTTGCCGGAGCTGGAGGTGAGGCGGACCGAGAATGGCGCCTGCAGCATGGCCCCGGAGTTGTACCTCCACACCGCGCCCCACGACCGGTCCATCTTGGTCCAGCCGGCGCCGTTGCCGCCGCTCTGCATGAGCTCCACCGACGACAGGTCGCCGTCGCCGTCCTCGTACTCGATGAGCACGGCGAGGTAGTAGGAGTTGGAGCCGGCATCCACCTTGAAGGCTATGTCCATCCCCGGCCAGTTGCACGGGACCCTGCAGCATGCAGCCACACGCACGGATGCCAGGGCCAAGACAAAGCACGGCGGTTAGTCGGTCGGCTAGGAAAGCGGCATACCGTGTGCGTGCCGGTGCACGCTTGCCGCTCTTTTACGCGCGTCCGGACACGCAGCTAGGTAGCTTACCGTGTGCCGTTTGCCGTTTTGCATGAAAAAACTCACGTGAAGATGCATGCAGCCAGCTTACCGTGTGTACTGGATTTGGAGACGTCCGGCCGCGCGGAGCTGGTCGGCCTGGCCGGGCTTTGCCATGCCGCCGAACGCCGTCCCGCTCAGGTCGAAGTGGACGGGCTCACCCAGGCACGCCGCGCCAGCTGGGCACTCGTCGGTGAGCACGACGGTCACCGGGCTGGACGAGCAAGAGCCGTGGCCGGTGCACTTCACCTGCGGAATTCACATCAATGGAATGCGCGCGGGTGTAATTAAGTTAAGCCGACTAGTTGACAACGCGGCGTTAAAATTAAGAGCTGGTTGTATGATCGTCGGACCTGGTAGCAAGAGCCGCAGCCCTTGCCGTCCTGGTAGATGGACGGGCTGCCGGCGGCGATCATGGATGAGAAGGGCGGTTGGTCGACGGCGTCCTGGTACCCGCATGCACCACCTACAGACCGTGCATGCAAAGCGTTACTTGCATAATGCTGGAGAAATTAAACAGTTTATGTTCGTTCATGTAGTATTAATTACCGTCGCTCCCTGCGCCGTTGGGGCCGCCGTACCAGGTGGCGCCGCCGTTGGACCAGCCGGAGAGCTTGCGGTGGATCTCGACGGACGCGCAGGGACGAAGGAGGAAGGCTAGGGCCATGAACACGGCGAAGGAGGCCGAGATCTTGGCCACGGAAAAGGCCATGCCTCTCTTTCTCACTCACCGACGATCACTAGAGTACAAGGAGGAAGAGACTGAAGTAGAGGGGTGGCCTTGGTGTGTGCTAGGAAGTGTACTCCTCGCCTCCATTTATAGGCGGCAGGTAGGGTGCACCGCTGAGTGATCGCGGCCAGTGATTAAATTCTCCCTTGGTTTCTTTTGAAGAAATAAAAACGAATTCTTGTTTACTTGCTGGGTTGCACGCGCGGATTCAAGGGGATTTTTAAATAAATAATAAATAAACCCGTTCGTTGGTGATCTTTAAAAAGCAATCTGAACACTGGACGATCGATCTGCCGCAGAAAGGTTTTTCCTGTCTTCCAAATTTGTACACCAGCGACCAGCGAGTACTACAGTGCTCGGCGTCTAGTCACTCAGTGAGCAGAAAAACGACAGTTGCCGTTATTTCGGTTAGACACGAGGCGACCCTACGAGTCGAGTTGCCGCCCATCCCGAGACGGCTCCACGCCCCGTCCATTTCACCATCCCCGAAATTCAGATCGGTCAACTGCTGTCACGAGGTCCAGTCGTCAGGATCTCACACCGTCTCCGCACCGTCGATCCCTCCCTTCGGACGGCCAGGAGGCGCGGTCATTCGGCCTGAGCCCCGCGGCAAGCCGCGGCACGAGCCGTAATCTTGGCCCGGTTTGCCGGTTCCTCCCGGTTGACTTGTGGGCGGTGGCTCACGCGTTCACTTCCCCCCGCAGCCAGTACGTAGCTCCGGCCGGTAGTCAGCGTCCTTGCCGGATTAAGCGCCCGAGCAACGTGCACTGGGCTTTCAGATGACATGCCTCCCAGAGTCGCAGTGGCTCGCGTCAGTCTCGGTTGCATGCACGGCGACTTGCGTGAGCAGGAGCATCTCCAATGGAACATGCAAATTTGATATGTAAAAATTTACATCCTCAAAATGTGATTTTGCATTAAAAAAAGAGACAACTCCAATAAAAAATGTAAAACGAAGATATAAAAGAGCAACTCCAATAAAAGATGCAAACTAGAAATGTAAAACCGGCCGCCGGCTGCGCGGCTGTTGTTCAGCTGCTGGTCAACCACATAAATTGAATTAAAACATGTAAAAGAACAACTTAAAAATTTCTCATGTCCACAATATTAAATTATTACATAATTCATCAAATCCACAAGATCAAATGCAACACACATACAACATAGTGGATGAACAAGTCTTTATACATTCTGAACTGGCGTCGGAAGTACCTCTTCGGAAAAACAGGCGGTGAACCAAAATAGTTGTGCATCAACCTCTTGTGCGTCTCAACCCGTTCTCTCTGAATGAATGCACTGCCATACACGGAACCGCCGTGCTTCCGCTTCTCCTCCCTGTGCATTGCCACTAGCATAGCAATGTCCTCTTCTTTGTTCAAACAGATTCCTCATCCGACGAGGAATCGCCCACGAAAAAGGAGTCACATGAGCTCATCTATAATGCGGAAAATTACCGTCAAACTAACTCTCCAACCCAATAAAAAATCGTCAACTTTCATCATTTTTTACCTTGGGGAATTTCGTCGAACACGTTGCTTGCGGGGTGGACGAAATCGGCCGACTGCAGTTGGGCAGCCGTTCGGCGGCAGCGACGCCTCTGAAGAGCAGATGGTCACAACTCAGCAGAGAAGAAGGAGGGAGCTCGGCGCTGTGGGCGGCCGGCATCGCACGGTCGGAAGAACGGCCGAGGCGGGCGGACGGGATGGCGCGCCTCCCCAGAAAAATCATGGAAGAAGGCTAGCCCATCCACGACCTCGCCGTGGAAGGCATTAGGTCAGCCGAACCACCGAAGATGCTTCGATTAGAAGCGGCGGCCGAAAGGGAATAGACAGCTGCGGGCGGCGGCGGCGGCAATTTTGTGCAAATTCGGCCAACGTCCGAGTTGGGTGAGCAGTTGGGCGGTTGGCACGCGGCTGTCCTTTTTGCATCTCCAGTCAGCGGAGATGCAAATTTGCACCGCGAAGGTGTTGTATCTTACATCTCCGAGAGGCGAGATGTAATATTTTTTCATCTACATCATATGTTGGACAGGTGTTTTTGGGCCTCGGAGATGCAAAAGGTAGTTGAAAGTGCTAGTTATCGACTAGAGGGGGTGAATAGACTTTTCTTATGACAGTCTTGAAGACAGGCAATGTCTTCGAAGACGAGCAATTAAACAATAACTAAATAGGATACAACGGAAGAAAAACTACACTAGCCATCACTGGTACAGCGAGCTTCTATACAAACGGCTTCCAACCCCTTTTTGCGACGACATTTTAAACCATCACCAGGTGACTGTGGGTGATAGGGAGGGCCTTTCCGCATGACCCAGAAACCGTCGGGGATAGGGAGTCATGATGCATATTGAGAGAGTCATGGACTAAGGGGTCCTCGGGGCGATGACCCCTTGTACATGGACCGGACTGGTGGAGCCATATAGTGACAGGAGATCTATGAAGTCGTGGTGTGTCCTCCAAGTCAGGAAGGTGCAGGATCTCTTTAATCCCTAATTGTAATCTATCTTCGGTAACCCTAACCCTACCGATGTCTATATAAACCGAGGGTTGTAGTCTTTAGGAGCAGAGCTACATTCATCACCTCATCGCCTTAGGGTTTAGCTCGTGCTGATCTCGAGGTAGATCTACTCTGTAAACCACATCATACATCCAATATAATCAAGCAGGACGTAGGGTATTACCTCTTCGAGAGGGCCCGAACCTGGGTAAACACTGTGTTCGTCATCCCTTGTTCCCCATTGATCCTACATCCTCAGCACGGGACCCCCCTACCCCGAGGTCTGCCGGTTTTGACACCGACATTGGTGCTTTCATTGAGAGTTCCGCTGTGGGATCGCCAGAGGAATCGATGGCTCAACCGGTCATTGGAGACCACCCCCGCGCCAAGGGTTTCCCCGCCCTTGGTCATCTCCTCGTCTTCGGTGGCATACTAGTGTTGGGGAACGTGGTAATTTCAAAAAAATTCCTACGCACACGCAAGATCATGGTGACGCATAGCAACGACAGGGGAGAGTGTTGTCCACGTACCCTCGTAGACCGAAAGCGGAAGCGTTAGCACAACGCGGTTGATGTAGTCATGCGTCTTCACGATCCGACCGATCAAGTACCGAACGCACGGCACCTCCGAGTTCAGCACACGTTCAGCCCGATGACGTCCCTCGTACTCCGATCCAGCCGAGTGTTGAGGGAGAGTTTCGTCAGCACGACGGCGTGGTGATGATGATGATGTTCTACCAATGCAGGGCTTCACCTAAGCACCGCTACAGTATTATCGAGGTGGACTATGGTGGAGGGGGCACCGCACACGGCTAAAAGATCAACCGATCAATTGTGTGTATCTAGGGTGCCCCTGCCCCCGTATATAAAGGAGCAAGGGGGAGGTGCGGCCGGCCTAGAGGGGGCGCGCCTGGAGGAGTCCTACTCCTACCGGGAGTAGGACTCCCTCCCTTTTCCTTGTTGGACTAGGAGAGGAGGGGAAAAGAGGAGGGAGAGAGGAAGGAAAGGGGGGCGCCCCCCTCTCCTTGTCCTATTCGGACTAGGGGGAGGGGCGTGCGGCCCTGCCCTGGCCGCCTCTCCTCTTCTCCACAAGGCCCACTATGGCCCATTAAGCTCCCGGGGGGTTCCGGTAACCTCCCGGTACTCCGGTAAAATCCCGATTTCACCCGGAACACTTCTGATATCCAAACATAGGCTTCCAATATATCAATCTTCATGTCTCGACCATTTCGAGACTCCTCGTCATGTCCGTGATCACATCCGGGACTCTGAACAACCTACGGTACATCAAAACATATAAACTCATAATATAACTGTCATCGAAACGTTAAGCGTGCGGAACCTACGGGTTTGAGAACTATGTAGTCATGACCGAGACACCCCGGTCAATAACCAATAGCGGAACCTGGATGCTCATATTGGCTTCCACATATTCTACGAAGGTCTTTATCGGTCAGACCGCATAACAACATACGTTGTTCCCTTTGTCATCGGTATGTTACTTGCCCGAGATTCGATCGTCAGTATCTCAATACCTAGTTCAATCTCGTTACCGGCAAGTCTCTTTACTCGTTCCGTAATACATCATCCCGCAACTAACTCATTAGTTGCAATGCTTGCAAGTCTTAAGTGATGTGCATTACTGAGAGGGCCCAGAGATACCTCTCCGACAATCGGAGTGACAAATCCTAATCTTGAAATACGCCAACCCAACAAGTACCTTCGGAGACACCTGTAGAGCACCTTTATAATCACCCAGTTACATTGTGATGTTTGGTAGCACACAAAGTGTCCCTCCGGTAAACGGGAGTTGCATAATCTCATAGTCATTGGAACATGTATAAGTCATGGAGAAAGCAATAGTAACATACTAAATGATCAAGTGCTAAGCTAACGGAATGGGTCAAGTCAATCACATCATTCTCCTAATGATATGATCTCATTAATCAAATGAAAACTCTTTGTCTATGGTTAGGAAACATAACCATCTTCGATCAATGAGCTAGTCAAGTAGAGGCATACTAGTGACACTCTGTTTGTCTATGTATTCACACAGGTATCATGTTTCTGGTTAATACAATTCTAGCATGAATAATAAACATTTATCATGATATAAGGAAATAAATAATAACTTTATTATTGCCTCTAGGGCATATTTCCTTCAACTAGTGCGCGCCGATCCCACTAGTCGCCTTGACCAGATCGAAGGCTTCACCCCCGTCGAAGGGTTCTAGTTTAGGGGCATCCACCCCAGGACCAGCAGACTCACAAAAATCCGGTATATCTCAGAGTCCGGCCCTGAAGCCCGACTCCGACAGACCACCTATGAGATCTCACATCGAGTCGCTGGAGCGTCTGGCGCCCCCATGTGCCCAGCCGGCAGACCACTTGGCAAGTCTGTTCTATGAAATGGGAATCTTTGTTATCAGGCCCACAACCTACGATCGGATCGGGCTTAAACCCGATGACCGAGAAATCAACACCTCT